TAACACTGGATCAATGAGACGACGGTTACTGGATCTCTAGGAAGAACACTTTAGAACTGATAGAGCTATCTAGTATAAATAAAGTTAGTTTAGTTTAGGTTTCCTTCTGTAGTAACACTGGATCAATGAGACGACGGTTACTGGATCTCTAGGAAGAACACTTTAGAACTGATAGAGCTATCTAGTATAAATAAAGTTAGTTTAGTTTAGGTTTCCTTCTGTAGTAACACTGGATCAATGAGACGACGGTTACTGGATCTCTAGGAAGAACACTTTAGAACTGATAGAGCTATCTAGTATAAATAAAGTTAGTTTAGTTTAGGTTTCCTTCTGTAGTAACACTGGATCAATGAGACGACGGTTACTGGATCTCTAGGAAGAACACTTTAGAACTGATAGAGCTATCTAGTATAAATAAAGTTAGTTTAGTTTAGGTTTCCTTCTGTAGTAACACTGGATCAATGAGACGACGGTTACTGGATCTCTAGGAAGAACACTTTAGAACTGATAGAGCTATCTAGTATAAATAAAGTTAGTTTAGTTTAGGTTTCCTTCTGTAGTAACACTGGATCAATGAGACGACGGTTACTGGATCTCTAGGAAGAACACTTTAGAACTGATAGAGCTATCTAGTATAAATAAAGTTAGTTTAGTTTAGGTTTCCTTCTGTAGTAACACTGGATCAATGAGACGACGGTTACTGGATCTCTAGGAAGAACACTTTAGAACTGATAGAGCTATCTAGTATAAATAAAGTTAGTTTAGTTTAGGTTTCCTCCTGTAGTAACACTGGATCAATGAGACGACGGTTACTGGACCTCTAGGAAGAACACTTTAGAACTGATAGAGCTATCTAGTATAAATAAAGTTAGTTTAGTTTAGTTTAGGTTTCCTTCTGTAGTAATATGGATCAATAAGAGATGACCGTTACTGGACCTCTAGGAAGTACAGTTTGGAACTGATAGAGTTATCCAGTTTATGAATATGATAAGATCACCCTTGCTCAAGTAAGTAAAGTTTATTTCGTATTTGCCCAACGTTTCTAGCCGTTTCAATTTTCAGGTTTAGCTATGTCTGTCATGGGGTCAGGGCCGTCAGCAATGCCGAAGCACTGTCCTCAAGGATTCTCCCAGCATTTGGCAGTCATAGACGAAGATTGTGAAATCAATTATTGTACCAAAACTAACTTCCTGTCGTCACAAGGACTGCCAGTTATCAAGCGACCTCCGTTCCACAGAAAACCCAGTCGAAATAGCGCAATTATGTTCCCGTTGATGATAGAAAATAATGATACTAATAAAGTGTACATACGCCATGAGGCAGATAATGGCAACTGGATCGAGCTGACGGCAAGGTAGGTTGATTTTCGGATAAGTATACAACAACTGCACTTTTCCTTTATTATAACACCACAACCATCATAATTACTACCATCTTAACCACCACCAACATCACCACTACCAACATGACCATCGTCATTACCACCAACATCACCAACAACATCACCACCACCAGGGACGCCGGAACGATAAAAAGGCAAGGTGGGCAAACGCACACCAAAGGGCACCTCTACAGACGCCGGTGAAGATATAAACCTACAATTGTGTGTTGATCATGACTTGCCAATATATGAAAGCAAACGCACTTCATCAGGTCACATTCAAGATCACACCTCATGATTTTGCCCAGCTCACACCTCATGATTTGCCCAGATCACACCTAATGATTTTGTCTCCCCCCCCCAGTCCCTGATCACCACTACCATCACCACCAACATTAAAATTATCATCACCACCAGCATCATCACCACTACCATCACCACCATCATCACAATCATCATCACCATCATCATCACCATCATCACAACCACCATTATCACCATCGTTATTACCACCAACATCATCATCATCAACATCATCACCACTACCATCACCACAATCATCATCACCACCATCATCATCATCATCATCATCATCACCACCATCATCATCATCATCATCACCATCACCATCACCATCACCACCATCATCATCATCATGATCGCCACTACCATCACCATCATTACCACGATCATTACAATCATGAGTGAACGGGACTTTATATATATTTTTCTCGTTTAGTATGTCAATGAAAATGCCATTGCGAAAATCAGAGCCAACCCAGGGAGCAGTTGAAAACCTCAAGTTGAAAATGGAAGGACTAGAGGAAATTAAGTCGTCACAATCCGCGGGCGATTCCTCCAAGGACAGTGGCCTGAGCGGAGGTGCAACGGCAGGTATCACAATCGGCGTCACTTTGGGCGTTGGGATACTGGTCATTGCGCTTTTTGCCCTGCGTCGTCGGAGAAACACGTCAGTGAACGCCGATCGCTCGGGTTATCAAACTTTTCAAAATTCTTAATGGAAGAGAGCTGGATTACGAGTGGAACTTTACTGATATTTAATAGGTACTTAATAGGGTAAAAATGGACAATTTCTTTGATATAATAAGGGAAATACTATATGAAAGGGGGGGTCGTAATCAGGCCTGGAAAAGGTGTTTGATGTTCCTCGGGATCCTGTATTTGCGTTTTCAAATGTTCCTCAAAAGTGCGTAAAACAATGGAAAATTTGATCGTACATGACGCCGTATTTGAACATTGAACAGCACTTCAAACACTCATTAATAATTCATAATTCATAAGCTTATTGACAAATCATGTCAACCATAATATGTCACGTGCAGTGGCTTTAAACCTGATAAAACACTCCTAATTAGTATTCTTTATATAAAGAATACTAATAAGGCAGTATCTATTGTAGTCGTGTCCTCATTAGTATTCTTTATATAAAGAATACTAATAAGGCAGTAAATCTATTGAATTTGTAGTCGTGTTTGAAGCCGTTTAATAAACTCGCAGGTCGTGTTTTATTAGGTCTAAAGCCACTCGCGCTGCGCGCTCGTGTTTTTAAACCTAATAAAACACTCCTGCTCGTTTATTAAACAGTACTTCACAAAATTCTCAAATAACAGATATAAAGGAGGTATGATATAATGATTCCTTAAGATTCTCCCATAACGTATGTCTGAAAAATTTGAAAATGTTCCTCAATTTTCTTTTAAAGTAAATATATGTTCCTCAGGATCCCTAGATAATAGATATCGCACTTTTTTCCAAGTTTAAAATGAGAGTTTTTTGTATTGAAGTTGTCAGCTACAATTCAACTGTTAGCGCGATATTTTGTAAGATGTCAGTTGCAATTTGCTGTTTCATCACTTGTCAGTTATCAGTTGAGACATTTTGCCAATCACATGTACGGGTAAATGGCTGTAGCCAGTAAACTCAATTCAGACAATGTAAAATTATAAAGGGTAATATTTAACGGTAAACTAATAAAAAGTAAAAAATTATCTTATCTTGTTGTTTTATTTTTGACATTATATCCTCGTATAAAAATCTTATGCATTATTTCAGCGCAATATGATACAAATACATCTCTATATTTATCCAGAACTACAAAATTATTTTACGACTATTCAACTCAACTATATATGTTACTGGACCGTCACAAACAGATGCGCATGTGACGTCAACATTCTAAAATACTTTATTAAATAAAACAAAATTGGCGAAATTCTGTCCTGGTAGTAAAAGTTAAATAACAGCAATTTTATCCAAAATGCTTTGATTCTTTTTAAGATCGTATCAAAAGTCATATCTTAACCTTAACCAAACATTTTTTAAATAAATTTTATACATAAATTTACCTCCAGGAATAATTGTTCGACCAAAAATTTTTAGTTGAAAACTCGCAGTACCAATAAACAATTTATGTCAGAATGTCGTGACGTCACATGCACACATAAATATCAATTAATGCGCTGGGCACCGAGGTCACCTCGAACCGAATTAAATATGAATGTAAACTAAACGTTACTATATATTCTATGTGGAATTCTGTGGGATTATGTGCGGATTAGTAAGCACTGCAGAATCAGTATTTAACAATTATTGACAAGAATGAAATACTGTCCACACGCCCGAAGGCCTGTTAAAATGCAGTGAGCTCCGTATAGACCAATTGCGAAACTTAGTGACCGCGCCTTCATACTGCACGAGAACGAGGCTTATTATGCAAAAACAAAACAATTTCTATATTTTTATATAGCGAAAAGTGAATTTTAGGGTTTTTAAAGTGTTTTTTCTTGAATCTCTTTGATCTTTTCTTAATATTTCGTGCTAGGTTATATAAATATTTGTTAAATTTATCTAAACATCGATTTCCCACTATATTTTTACCCGCTTTAGAGAGATATTTCGTTGTTGTTTTAGCATGCGATGGAACAAACATATGGAAAAGATCAATCTAGACTTTAAAATCTGATCAAGATGCAAATAAAATAGCCAGTATAACTTAACAAACTAAAATATAACTCTTTCTACCCAGATTTTTTTAGACTTGTGCGAGAAAAAACGATTTTGTCAAAGGATAATAACATAAAATTTCTACAACTTTTGCCCGACATTTACTTTCATATTTTTAAAGTTAAAATCGAAAACTTGCTATTATATTACAACTGAAACAAAATTAATCAATGTTACAACTTATTCTTTGAAATGTAATAATAAAACAGACGGAAAATATCTGATTCTTTCTCTGGTATAATCTGCTTCTTTTATCGGAAGGCGAAAAACAGCAAAACTTTGCCTCGCACGCCGCGAAAAACAATGAAATTTGAAGTAAGACTAAATCTATGAACAAGTTTAATAAAGATTTACATAATCAAAACAGAAATATTGAAAAAAAATGAAGAGATTACCATAAAAACGCGTCTCAAACACTGAAATTCATTTTTCGCCATATAAAAATATAGCAGAATGATTTGTTTTTGCATAATAAGCCTCGTTTTCGTGCAGTTTAAGGCGCGGTCACTAAGTTTCGCAATTGGTCTATATACAGCTAATTCAAAAAAGGTTGTCCTTTTCAAACCTCAAACTCTAAACCTTAAACCTTCAACTCTAAGCGTGCAAAGCATAATGGTAGCATCATTTAATCAGTTTAGAAATCATATATGGGGCCCATTTCTTAGAGACATGGTAAATATCTCCTTATGAAAACAATTCATTCACAAACGCTGCAACAATCGACTATTAAGCTTGAAACTTGTGCTCCCATTAAGCTTTGCGCGCTTAGAGTTTAAGGTTTAAGGTTTAGAGTTTAAGGTCGCAAAGGACAACCTTATTTGAATTTGCTGCATATATCTGGAGCGAGAACTTGAGACCAAAAAGTGAAGCCAAAATAGCAATATCGTACTCAGAGCCATCGTTGAGTGGTTGTGGATACGAGATTGCCAAAATAGCGGAAATTGAAGAGCTATTGGACGTTAGTTCCAGTCCCTTTCTATTTTTTTGTCTGCGCGGTTAACACAAAGCTGGCAAGGAGTGTGCCGAAATTTCGTATTTTGATATCGATTTAAAGAATAACACTATGGTTTTATGAACTGATAACTTGGTTAGCGATACGGTCCGTTAGAAAAAAAACTGGAATTCATGCTGGGAAAAATGGTATAAAAACTATTTACGGCCTTCCGAGCTATTGGACGTCAATGGCACAGAATACTATACAGAAGGCCATCTCCATTGTTTTTTCATAAGCGCTATTCGTCATGATTCGTCACTCAGTAAGTACCCTAAACAGAAGTAGTCACCCCCCCCTGGACGTGTGCCATTTTGAATATTTCCAGGGGGTGACTGCTTCTGTTTACGGTACCATTAAACTATACATAAACTGGAAGGCTAACTGCTATGATGAAGGCCTATGATTTGAGGAAGCCAAAATAGTTTTTCTGAATTATGTGCAGAAATACTTGATCCCAAACGTTGGGCTATATATCAAATTGAAGCTATTGAAACTTTCTATTCGGTGTGGCAATTTCAAGACGTCAGCGAAAAGAAAATATTTAAAAAATACAAAAACAACTCATTTTTGTAGTTTTTCAATATTTCCCTTTTAGCTAAAGTCTTTAAATTTCTACACCAAATAGTGTTTTTCAATAGCTTCAATTTGATATACAGCTCAACGTTCAGTGTTGAGTATTTCTGCTCATAACTCAGAAAAACTAAAATGCACCGACTTCAATCCCCCTCCCCCTGAGTTAGCCTTCCAGTTTATTTATAGTTCAATGGTTTGAACCAAACAGAATACCAAACAAGTTAACGTCCAAACAGACCCCACAATTTTGCATCCAATCTTGTACCAAGTTTGCCTCAGACGTGTGACAATTTGCGCGTTTTTACGCGTGTAATTAGCATTAGTTATTTTATAACGTTGCATCAAAGCGCAAATTATTCATATTACAAAATTAATCATAAATACTGCGTATTATAATATTTACCCCGCCCATGATACGGCTTGTGCAATGTAGATATTTTATCCAATGATGATTTCATATTGCATGTGACATGCGATGATCACGTGAAATTAACGGAAGATGGTTTTGATTGGACGATTTTTAACACCAATCTTCAGAATCCCTAAAGAGTCGATACACTTATATTACTGACTGTGTGACAATGACAAAGCAGTTCTAATTGAATGGGAAAAATTGTACTACATACAATAAGACTATAATTGCAGTTATAATGGAAATTTCCGTTGGTCAAAAAGAGGAAGGATATAATGACGAGATGATTTTTCTGTGTTGGTGTAATGTACTCAGGTGAATATGATGCTTGTGATGTTACTCTGAGTGTATATCTACACCGGGCAAGCTTGAAAAATACGCCTGGCCACGGTGGGAATCGAACCTACGACCTTTGGAATACTAGCCCAATGCTCTGCCAACTGAGCTACGCGGTCTGGTCGGTTCGAGTATGTGATATTTCGGAACATAATCTAGTTCCTTTGATATCATTGTAATCTAATAATCAGTAATGATTTTTCTGTGTTGGTGTAATGTACTCAGGTGAATATGATGCTTGTGATGTTACTCTGAGTGTATATCCACACCGGGCAAGCTTGAACATAGCTCTATTTTTTGGTTTTGTATGAAGAACATAACTTTATTTTTTGGTTTTGTATTTCGTAATGTGCGAAAAAAGCTTCAAAATGTCAAATTTTCTAAATATGCTGTAAAATCCATGTACAGTCCAAAACCATAGCGAGCTGATAGTTTTAAAGAATGAAAAAAGAAATTCCGAACAGAAATAATATCTTGAGAATTCGATAAATCGATATCCATTATGGCATCATCACACAGAATGTAAATTTTTACCCTCGTATTTGCTTTGAAAAAGATCCGGGCTTACGTATCAAAGGTTTTGCCCAAAACATAAACCTGCTGATGTCGACAAAAATAATTAAAAATAGGAGTTTCTCACCTTGAACTCAGGGATTTATTAAGGACATCCAATATTGATGGATCTTTTTCTTTAACTAAAGCAATCAAATGCTTAAGATATACTTTATTTTGTTCATATTCGTGTTCCCTGGCCTGGAGTTCACTTTCAGGTGCCCCCTAGAATAGGAATAACAGAGTTGTTAAAAGAAATAGACGAACTACACAGTAATAGAAAACAATGAACTACGCAGACAGTTTGATTGATCTGCTTGTTTGCCGCGTTTATGTAGAAACACAGAGGAAGTATCTCTTCTTTGACTTTTCGTCCATCTGCTATATAGAATTCATCATCTTACCGAAAGCGCAATTTGTTTCTTCAATTGTTTAATTCTCAAATCTCGCTCTGTGATACATTCCTCCAGATTTGAAACCATCACGGAGAGACTCTGAAACGAAGATTATGTTAATTTGTTTAATTTTTGATCTTGCGGAATGAGAGGGGTACAACTACCTGAAAAAAACAAAACAAGTAGGCCGTGGGCCGTTGTGCGAAAAAGTGCTTAGAAAAGCAATTTCGTGGCAACCCCCTACGGAATAGATTTTCTGTGGTTCAATTCATAGTACCATAGACGCTGGATTACCACAGAAAGTTCCCAAGCAAAAAACTTGCCAAACACCGAGAAAATGGGTGATCTGTGATTATCCTCTATTAAATTGTATTACAGCAAGAAAATGTGAAATTTTGTGTTCAATTACAACGAAAATGACTTGCATCATCAGAAAGCTACATATAAGGCGTTTAAACAGTTTTTTTGTACGCTGTCAAAAACGCGTTTTTGACCTAGTACCCATTCCTTATTGCGACATTTCGGTCCAATTTTCACATTTAAAACAGCAATAACTCCAAGACCATTTGAAGGATAAAAAAACTGTTTAAAAGTCTTATATGCGGTTTTCTGTAAGCTTTCTGATGATGCAAGTCATTTTTGTTGTAATTGAATACAAAATTTCCCATTTTCTTGCTGTAATACAATTTAATAGAGGATAATCATTGGCAAGTGTTTTGCTTGGGAACTTTTAGTGGTAATCGAGCATCTATGGTACTATGCATTGATCATGAACCACAGAAAATCTATTCCCCAAGGGGTTGCCACGAAGCGAAATAATTTTGGCCAGCGGCCCACGGCCAAAAGCAAAACGACGTTTCGAGCGAACGCCCTTCCTTGGGAAGTAATTTCCGACGGCATTCTCTCGAAACGTCAAAGTGCTGCTTTTTTTCCGGTGGTTGTGTAGTCTCTCAGTCCGCAGCTAATTTAATGGATGATTCCAGCTCTAGTCTAAATTTTGATCTAGGCAAGAAGAACAAAATCCATCACCACAGCTAGAAAGAGCATGTTAAAATTAGCAAAATTGTAAAGTTTGGTTGCGAAATGTTGTAAAATGAGGAAAATATATTCCTACGAAATTTGCAAATTTTGTATTAATTTGTATTACGCACCGGAAAATGCACCACTTTCGGCCAAATGTGGTGCATTTTCCCGCGCGTAATACAAATTACTACAAAAGTTTCAAATTTCGTAGGGCTATATTTTTTTTCGCATTTTACAACATTTCGTGGCCAAACTTTGCAATTTTACTAACTTGAACATGCTCTTTCTAGCTGTGGTGATGGATTTTGTTCTTCTTGCCTAGATCAAAATTTAGTCCAAAGCTGGAATTATCCATTTCCATGCGTCAAAATTTCCGAAGTTGAAACCCATCTAAAACACAAAGCAAAAAATAAAATCCAACACACCTCATCTTTAATAGCACTTTGTTTCTCCATCTCAGCAATGGCTGCTTCACGTTCCTCGTCTTTCGTTTTCAGTTCCTCGCGTAATGTTTCCACATTGTTCTCAAAACCTTTCATCTTTATACACAGTTCCTTCTTTTCCTCTTTCATAATCAAAATCTCATATTCACGATCAGACAATCGTTTTTGCAAATCTTTTTTCTCGTTCTCATGATTCTTTTTCGACCCTTCCATTTCTATTTCCACTTCTTGTAACTTATTTTCCTTTTCTTCCTTCTCATTTTCCTTTTCTTGTAGAGAATTTTCCATCTTTTGCGTCTCAAGCTCGAGCTGCAAAATTCGCTTTTCTTTACCCTTCAAGTCCCTCTTTACCTCGTCCAACACTTTATTATCCTCTTTTATCCTTTCATTAAGTTTCTCAACTTCCACTGCAAGATCATGCATTTTCTTATTTTCCACTTCAAGGTTTTTACACTTCTTTTGAATTTCACTAATTTCCTCATCTCTTTTCTCGCATTCTTCCGCACTGAGCGACAACTGCCCGCGAATATCCTCGAACACGTCTCGCGTGACCCAGCCATCAACATCACTGAGTTTCGTGTTCGCCTCGTCAACCTCCGTACGAAGTTCGGTATTGGCCGCCCTCAACGAGTGCAACTCGGTAGCCATTTCTTGAACCTGATTCGCTAGTTCATTCTTCTCTGATTCCATTTCTTCTAATTCCCGCTCTCTAAGACGACTCTTGCCTTCAAAAGTCCTACATTGTTTTTTCAACTCTCGATTGTCCTCGATTAAAAGTGAATTCTCATTTTGTAGTTCATTAATTCTTTCCAAAACTTCACTCACTTCCGGTAACACGACAGGAGTGGAAACCTCGTTCCCAGGTTCTTTTGGGGCGGTCACGTCCTCAGTCTCCTTCAGCGCGGCCTCATCCCCAGGCTGTTTTGCCGCGGGCTCTTCCACAGACTCTCTGGAGACATCGCCAGGTACACTTGCGCTCAAATCTTGCTGGATATCTTTAGAGACATCTATTGATAAATCATTATTACTCTGGGTTCTATCAAGTGATATCCCAACATTATCCCCTGTTTCACCTCTTTTATCACCATTGGTATCCCGTAATGTACTCAAATCATCCTGTTTTTCCGCATCTATCCCTATCTCAACCGCCTGTCCCTCAATCCTTGGCTTGCCTTGGAATCTCAAACGGTCAGATAACCGCTTCGACGAACGACGAAGTTGCTGCGAGTACTCAAACTCGCCAACACTCGTGGAAGCGTCGGAAGAACTATCGAGATTTGTAGTAGGTCCGTTGTCAATGCCCATCAAGTCACTTTCCGCGTTCAAAAAATTAAAATTCTTAGAAATCATAAGATTCCCGTATTCTGGGTCATCATCTACTGAATCGTTCTGAGAAAGATCGGGACAGGAGGAAACCAATCGCTTAGGAGCGTTTTGAATAGAATCAGGGTCTTCAATATTTGAGGTTAGGTCATTCTGAGAATTGTTTTGCAACATGTCACTATCTTTCTCGGATTTTCCTGTGTTTGTACTAGATCCTTTCCCATGATCAACTTCGACGATATAAGCAAACTCAGTTTCCAGTGTGTTATTGGGTGCTAGGTCATCTGTCCCAGGCGAGTCTGGGCCAGACGTGGACTCACTTGAAGATGGGCTGGACGTTTTGTCCTGTTGAGCCTCGATGTGGTTTTGCGGGGACGAAGGTTCCTTCAAAAAGAGATACAAGAACAGAGTGGTTTCAGCTTGACTCTAAAGGCTATTTACTGACAGTTCTCTGAAAGTTACTGACAGTTACTGCACCTCTAGAACTGATAGAACTATCCAGTATAAATAAAGTTAGTTTAGTTCAGGTTTCCTCCTGTAGTAACACGGGATCAATAAGAGATGATCCTTACTGGAACATTAGGGAGAATAGTTTAGATCTGATAGAGCTATCCAATATAAATAAAGTTTGTTTAATTTATGTTTCCTCCTGTAGTAACACTGAATCAATAAGAGATGATCCTTACTGCAACTTTAGGGAGAACAGTTTAGAACTAATAGAACTATCTAGTATAAATAAAGTTAGTTTAGTTCAGGTTTCCTCCTGTAGTAACACTGGATCATTAAGAGATAATCTTTAGTAGACCTCTAGCAGTGGCGTAACGTTATATCAGGGGGCCCCCGGTTCAAAATTTTCGAAGGCCCCCCTAGTAGAAGTGCCAAAGGCACAAGTCGAGCGCCGTATATGCACGAGTTTTTAGGGGTCACGGGGCATGCTCAACCGGAAAATTTTTGAATCTAGACTCTCTGAAATACCATTTCCCAGACTTTGGGGAGAGATGTTACAGAATTCTGATGGTCAGAAAACGACATTGTGACATATCAGAGGCCCTGGCCAATGTTTTTGCTTCACAGCCTGAGCCTGGGGCCCCATTTGGCCCATTGGGGTTGGGGGCCCCCGGGTTCGCCCGGTCCGAGCCCATAGTAGTTACGCCACTGACCTCTAGGGAGAACAGTTTAGAACTGGCAGAGCTATCCAGTATAAATAAAGATAGTTTACTTAGGTAGTTGTATTTGGTTTATTTAGTTGTATTTTATATTGACTCACTTCACTAATCTTCTGTTTGGACAAATCTTGAGCAATAGGACCTGTAGAGTTTCCCCATTCAATCAAACGCTCGTTGCGCCATCTTAGTTCAAACCTGCAGTTATCAGGATCAGACCATTGTCTCTCTCGTTGTAAAGGACATTCGTTACGATCCAAAACATATTCTGCAATAAAGCAAGATAAGTTCTTTTCATGTTTGCATGGTAGCCATATGTGATTTCATGGCAGGGTCTTAATTAAGGCCATGTTACACGGTGCAATTTTTCTTGCAACTTGCAATGCAATTCTACTCTTGAGAGATGTAATGCCAAATACGAGTCTTCATTTAATACACTCCGCTGATGTTTTCCATAGCTCAGTGATGTTTTCTCAACATATCGAAAATTCTTCACTGATTTCACTAATTAACATCTTTCAAGAGTAGAATTGCATTGCAAGTTGCAAGAAAAATTGCACCGTATACGTAACATGGCCTTTAGATGTTTATGTAAAATTACGGGTTAACTAGACTGTATTCCCATGTTTCTTGTTAAACCATTGAGGGATTAAGCCACAGAGCACTCCATACTTTGTTATTTTACCCTAACATATGGTCTAATGCCTTAATACGTTTCATATGTTGTCGTAGGCATATTGTGTGCTTGATTTACACAGTATAACCATCTGTGGTATAACTCAAGTTGTAAGGAGGTTGCATGCGACATTTTTAGGCAAAAGTTGTGTAGTGTAAATTGGTCTATAGTAACGTCATCTCTATAAATAACCAACCTTTCTTGTGTTCATTAATTTCACAAATTCGATAACATTCCGGGTCCTCTTTTGCATTAGATTTTTCTAAGACCATTTTGATCACCTCAAACGCCGTGTCCTCGTGTTTTATCAACAGACTAACGTACTGCATGTCAGTGAGAAACATTTCGGTCCAAACTTTAACCACGCCTTGGGGTCCCGTGTTCATGAGGTTATGGAAGGCATTCTTGTAGATGGGTGGGGCGGTGTGCAACAACGAGGGATCCTTGTGGCTGCCGGGTTTAGAGTTGAACAGACGAGAAATGCTACAATGAAAGTATACAACGTTATGGTTGCTTTCAATACACGTAAAAACGCGCTAATTGTTGTAGATCTGCAAACAAGTTGTAACAAAGTTGTTGTCAAGCCGACATCAGGATGTGTTCGCAATGCTTGTTCCTAGTTTGTTGTGACGAGTCTGGAACAAGTTGTTATCATCTTGTAACAAGGTTGATGATGGTAACAGACTTGCTACAAGTTGTTCCAACAAGACTAATACAGGCTGTTCGTAACAAGTTGCTACGAGCTTGTATTCATCAACTTGTTAACAACTTGTTACGTACAGACGATATCAGACTTGTTGGCCTCATCAACCTTGTTACAAGATGATAACAACTTAATGTTCCAGATTACACCTCAATGGATTACACACGCAAAAATCTCACATCTTGTAACAAGTCTGCCAACAAGCCGTCAACAAGATGTATTCGCACTGCTTGTCACAAGTTGTCAACAGGTTTGGAACAACTTGTTGCCAACTTGTAACAACCTTGTCGAAATTATCAGACTTGTTGCAAGGTTGTTCTGACAAGTTCGTATTTCCGTATTGCCGTTACAAGTCAAAGAAAAAATCACCCAACATGGCCTTTTGAAAATAACCTTTTTCGACCATCATTTGAATATAATTCAGAGAATAATTTATATAAATTTTACCGTTTTCCTCGAGGCTTCGCCTTCTTCGATGTTGGTTTGGATGATTCTTTTTTCGATTTGGTTTTCGTTGGAGAAACCTGTGCAGAGGGAAGAAATAGCTTTATTAATTTTGTATAAAAAATTGAAATTTATTCAATAAAGGAAAATGGAGGTGCCTGGGGCAAAATTTGTCTGGAGGAAGGGAAAAGGAAACATTTTTTCTGTAGGAATGGAATTTAGGTGATAACATTTTTTTTGGGGGGGGGGGTTCTGGGTGGGGGTAACTGAGATTTTGGTGGCACTATCAAGTTCAGCTAGGGATAAGTGCCCCCCCCCAAAAAAAAACCCTCTTGGCAACAGCCTTGATAAAACTTGGTTTCATCGTAGTAACTCCTTAGCATACCTGATTACTTGTAATAGTATGAGTTGAAGTCTCTGCTTTATTTTGCACAACTGTTTTCTTCGGACTATCTTGTTTTTGTTTCCCGTTATCCGTTATTTCTGATGTAGGCGAAGGGCCAATGTCACTTTCAGTTCTTGACGATGATGCAAATGAATCTGTTGGTGTTAGATCACTTCCAGTACTTACAGGCACATGGACATGAGTTTGCTCGTTATTGTTTTCTTGAGGGCTTACATCACGTAATGTTTCTGTGAGAGGGCAAAACAGACCAACACGTAAGGCATTATTCAATATTTCAATTAGCCCTTCCCTTGTCTGCCATTTTTGGCTGGCAAACCACATGGCAAACTTAGACAAGAACAACTTGAAAGGAATCATGAATGAATGTTGTGAAGTAAAAACACTGAATAATTTATACGAATTATTTACATCACTTCTTTCTTTGTTGCCATCCTGTCTCTGTGAACAGTGACCGCAGATTGTGTCTGGTAGTGGTGGTGGTGATGGGGGATGGGGCACACTGACATGGTCGGACTATTTCAATGACATGTATATTAACCCATTAAGCTGCATAATGCACCCTAATGCAGCCTACTTAATTATTTCACTCTGCCTGGACAATGCCAGATAATTTTACATTTTACTATTTTTATCTTCTAAAACCATCAATAGCGAGGTGATCTCGAAGACACCTTTAAACCTCTGGGGTGATCAGAAGACACCTTTAAACAATACAAATAGTCATTGCAATGATTGCAAACAGTAAAATTAACTTCAACTTTGGAGAGATTGCTCGAGGGGAGACTGTGATTACCCTTTTAATTCTTTTACTCGGGAAAAAAAGAGGGGGGAGGCACCACAAGTAAAAGACACACTACTTTTGAATAAACACCAAGGTTTATGATTCCAAAGAAACTAACAGATTAACAAACTAAAAGACTAACAAACTCACACAGCAAATATAAAGTGATGCCTAACTTTGTTTGGCCACCACATGTACAATTTTGTGTACCTTCAATCTCTTTATCCATCATTTGTTCATCCTCGTTGTCAACCTGACCACTTTCTTCTTGTAGACGGTAAACTTCGGAGAGAAAGTGTTCTCTTTCCTCACTTGACTCAGAAAGATTTAGCTTTTCTAAACAGTTGAATAAAAATGATAAATAGCACTGATTAGCTTTCAATCTCATCAGCCCAGTGAGGGACAACCCACAGCCCCACTAGTTAGTGGCTCAGACTGGGCCCTAATCTTACCCTGAATCACAGAGTAGAGACATACAGGGACGTAACTAGTGTACCCACTTTTTTTGTGCGCATGGTCGGCAAGTTACTAGATGCATGCATCTGATTGGATGACGACCTGATGACGACTCACTTTAAACTTGCTGAGCATGTGCAGTTGATCATTTTTCGCCTGGTCGCCTGAAAAAAAGTGGGTACATGATAACGTAATCTTCCGCAGTGTTTACAACGGTCAGTTACGTCTTAATGTCTTATCTACTCTGTGCCTGAATAGCCTAAATCTTACTCTGGGGAACCCACACAGTGGGCCCTAAGTCTTGGTTTTGCCCCCACTGTAAAACATTTAAAATATGCACTGCAATACTGCAAACTTCATGCCCTGAACAGTCATGTTTAACTACCCTTAGGTTCATTGAAACCTTCAAATGCTTGTTACAAAAATGAAAGTTCTATTTGTGAATCTACATCCTTGGATGCAAATGACATTTTACCACCATAATCTTACCTAGTGTTTCATAACTGAGATTTAGAAGAGTTTTGCCAGAAACTTTGTGAACTATATTTTAAAAATTACAAGGTAAGAATAAGTTGTAGTTCTAACATACAAGCACGTACTACAATAAATAATAGTAAAATTACAGTATACAAAGTACTTACTGAGAAAATGTTCCTTAAATTTGCTCAAACCAATGTCATCAAGCCATATGCCCACATCCTCCATGGTCCATGTTGGCACTGGTTTTTCCATCAACTAATAAATTATATATTATTACAACCAGTAATCAAACTGGTTACTAACTATTACTTTAACCCATTGAGTCGCATTGCACCCTGATGCAACCTACTTTAGTATTTTACTCTGTCTAACGCCAGACGATTTTACTCGTCAAGGGGAGAGCGCTGGCACTTTATGGGTTAACTGGCCTATCTGCCCATGTGTCTAGTTAACCCATTGAGTCGCATTGCACCCTGATGCACCCTACTTTAGTATTTTACTCTGTTTAACGCCAGACGATTTTACTTGTCAAGGGGAGAGCGCTGGCGCTTAATGGGTTAATCAACAGGGCTGCAAATTACTGTCGGACATCGGACAATGTCCGACTAAATTTGGCAAATGTCCGAGCAAAAACAACAAAAAATTGTCACATTATACATTTTCTTGCTGTGACAAAATCCAAGTCAAATATTTATTTGCAGCCCTGAAATTCAACCATATTGCATGTTGATAAAAAGTTGCAAATTTTTACCATAGTTTACTTTACTAGAAGGCAGGGGGGGGGGGAGATCACAGAGTGTAGTCACAGAAGGACTGAGAAATGAAGAGTAGAAGGAACAAGAACACTTTAATCTACACTCCCAACACTCTCTTTTAGTCTAAAGCCAGGTGATTTTACTCGTGCAGGGATGATTTTACTCGTCTTGCACATTCATGAGTTTAAGCCATTGAACAATCTGCCAATTATTATTTTACTCTGTCTAACACCAGATAGTTTTACTCGTCAAGTGGAGAGTCTTGCACATTAATAGGTTAATTAATATATTAATGGGTTAATTAATATTATTATATATCAATAGTCAAAGTCGCATTTTTCTAGTGTTTTATTGGTTGAGAGCATATCACGTGAGAGTGACGAAATTAGGCTGTCTCCCTCGCAACAGCGCGAGAGGGAGATAATACGTTATTGACCGGCGAATAACAAAAAAAATCATGCGCGCCATCACGTGAAGATGCGACCTTTGGACATGCCTAGTACGTAATTAAAACTTTCGCTTTAAGTAACTGCAGTGTAGCCAGTATTTAATATAACGTTTTAACAATAAAATATTTCATGTATTTACGTTCATTTGTTCTTTAATTTGTTGTTTCTTTGACTATTGATATATAATAAAACACTTATTTACTGAGACCTCGGGAAAGCAGTGTGTTTTGTGGACCCTCGACCATCGATGTTTCCCTCGTCTTCGCCTCGGGAAACATCGACGGTCTCAGGTCCACAAAACACACTGTTTCCCTCGGTCTCAGTAAATAAGTGATAATTGTTTTATAGACATTGGGACATGTATCTTGTTAACCCGATAAACTGCAATGCACCCAACTTTATTATTTTACTCTGTCTAATACCAGATGATTTGACTGGCCAAGGGAAGAGGGCTTGGCACTCAACGAGTTAAGAGGTTCTATTAAGAGGAAATGTCTATCATAGTAAGATATTCAATTTAATTTTCTAAGCCAAAGGAAACTAACTTCCTATTTCCTTGTCACTTCCTCAGGGTGGGGAACACACATGCAAATCAAGCTGACTGACAACAGGCTTCAGCAAAATAGCAAATAATGCTCGATATTATTGATATAAGGTAGGAATTAAGTCTATTGGGGGGGGCTCATCCTCAATCGCCAGTCAGGTTATGGCAAACCCACAGATCTCATATTGATCAAAATGAAACCTTGCCACAATCAAGTAATTGGCAATTTAATTTACTTGTAAACTCTATGAGTAAATCTGATTCTGATGAGTAAATCTGAAAGATATCAAATTTCAACATGCTACAAAACCTGTAAGTGTGATGTATCATGCAGTGTTAAATATGACAGATTAATGTTTACAAAATGAACACTATCAAAACAGCCCACCTAAACAGACTTAGCTTGATGCTTTTATGTTGTAATGCAACAAAACCATCTTAAAATTACACAATACACCTTTTACGTGATTCTGAGCACGAAAAATATTGGCCTTGTCATATTTTCAGACATAAAATATTCAATGAATGCATAATATGACTGTATAATACTAATTTAATTCTAACTATTAATAAAAGCCCTACAAATTAAACAGCTGAAGAATAGAAGACTTAGATTAGCACATCGGTAAACAAGGATTATTTGATAGTTATTTCGAAATCTTAAAGCAAAATAAACCCAACAAAAATACCTCTAAAGCAAATGCTGCTTCGTTTACGATTCCCGACTCCATCTTGCCGAGAGCCTTCGATTTGGACAACACGCTGTGCCGAAATAAAAGACAAAATCATATTTAATAACCAAACAACTACCTACAACTAAGGTGCCTTTGTACATATTCGCACTTGACATAACTTAAATATTTTAGTATATAGTTCGATTTTTTATTAGAATAAATAATTGTTACAATTCAAATATGCATTTGAATGGCTTCAAAACACGGAACTGTACACGATGAGCAAAAGTTTACAAAAAATTCAACTTAAACAATACCTTGCTTTGAAATTACTCGCTGTTGTGCTACCCAAATGGTTATTCGCTAAGTGCGTGCCATCTTTGGCTGAATTCTTCGTTGAAATCAGACGTTTTTCGACATTGACATACTCAGCTTTTATGGCAGTGGGACTAGCAAGTCGAATATTAGGACTCTCTGTGTTTTTCGTTACTTCCTGGACAAAATTCGGGAGTTTCGGCTCACTTCCTGACGTTCCTGCACTTTGCCTGCCATTTCTTGAAGGCGAGCGACGAGAAGGGCTCGCGGCTCTGTGTTTCGTGAGCGAGTCGAGTGGCTCGATATTGCACTGTTCAGGTGGCAGCAAATGACCGTTCGAATCAAATAGCCTTGTCGAACTACTCATAATATTAGTAATTCAATCCCCTTATTAATAAACAGATTAACAGCATCAAATAACTCGTAGAAATTTATCCAGGATGGCAAGCCAAATGTAAACGACCCAAGTTCCCCTTGCGAAATCTTTAAAATCTATAATATAAACATTGGATGTCCGGCCATTTTATTTGAACTCATGCATATTTGCACAACAATTTCCATTAATGGGCATATGTTTGCAAAAACGAATACATAATAACACTGTTAAATAATATTATATCATCCTATTTTGACGTTTTCTTGTGTTTATACTGATCAAAAATATTTTTTTCTATAAAGTAAAAAATTTATAACGAACCCTAATTTTAAAGGTGATCTACAGTCCTATCTGCGCATGTGCACAAATGAGCCCACTTTTTATGATACAAACAGTTTAACTATGTTTTGAGTTCTTGAAAAGCCTGATTGTTGTTTCTTGATCATTTATTATACTCTAGAAGCTTGAAAATATAAATAGTTGTCGAATAAAGCTCAATATTTTGGACACAAAAATGTAAACAAAGGCTTTGTTTACATACGGACTGTAGATCACCTTTAATGTTTATGACGTAAATTTATTACGCAGCATTATCATGCATTTATACTGTATTATTCACATGTGGACCTCTGCATGTTTACATAATCAAATCCGCTTTACACACGTAAAAACGCACAAGTTGTTACAAGTCTGCAAACAAGTTGTTACAAATCTGTTCACAAGCTGTCAACAAGTTGTGTTCGCACTGCTTGTTCCCAGTTGTTGTAACAAGTTTGGAACAAGCTGTTAACAACTTGTAACAAGCATGATGGCATTGTCAGACTTGTCACAAGGTTGTTCTAACAAGTCTGATACAGATATGATAAACAAGAATGTTACAAGTTTGACGACACAAAGTTGTAACAATATTGCTATATCATGGCTGTATCGGACTTGTTGGAACAACCTTGTAACAAACAAGCCTGATAATACCGAGAAGGTTGTAACAAATTGTTAACAGCTTGTTCCAAACTTGTTGACAACTTGTGACAAGCAGTGCGAAGACAACTTGTTACAATTCAAATATGCATTTGAATGGCTTCAAAACACGGAACTGTACATGATGAGCAAAAGTTTACAAAAAATTCAACTTAAACAATACCTTGCTTTGAAATTACTCGCTGTTGTGTTGTTACCCAAATGGTTATTCGCTAAGTGCTTGCCACCTTTGGCTGAATTCTTCGTTGAAATCAGACGTTTTTCGACATCGACATACTCAGCTTTTATGGCAGTGGGACTAGCAAGTCGGATATTAGAACTCTCTGTGTTTTTCGTTACTTCCTGGACAAAATTCGGGAGGTTCGGCTCACTTCCTGACGTTCCTGCACTTTGCCTTGTTGACAGACTTGCTCTGCCAACAAGCTGTCAACAAGTTGTGTTCGCACTGCTTGTCACAAGTTGTCAACAAGTTTGGAACAAGCTGTTAACAACTTGTAACAACCTTGTTAATATTATCAGACTTGTTGCAAGGATGTTCCAACATGTCGGATACAGTCATGATATAACAATATTGTTACAACCTGGTGTCACCAACCTTGTAACATTCTTGCTATATCATGACACCATCAGACTTTTTAGAACAACCTTGTATTACAAGGTTGTTCTAAAAAGTCTGATGGTGTCATGATATAGCAAGAATGTTACAAGGTTGGTGACACAAACAAGTCTGATAATGTTATCAAGCTTGTTACAAGTTGTTAACAGCTTGTACCAAACTTGTTACAACAACTAACAAAACTGGGAACAAGCAGTGTGAACACAAATTGTCGACAACTTGTCTGCAGACTTGTACAAACTTGTGCGTTTTTACTTGCGTAGTTAGTATACATCAAGAATATACAATCACTTTATGGTTTCCGTCAGTTGGATGGTCTGATCCAAACATTTCGCTATACTTTTTAGTCACGGTGGTCTGTGGCTACAATGTATACCAGATTTCACTATACTTTTTAGCCACGGTGGTCTGTGGCTATAACGTATGCCAGATTTCAGTGCACTTTTTAGCCACGGCGGCCTGTGGCCGTAAAGTATACTATGCAGCTGCTATAAACTATAGCCACAGACTTTCGTGAAAGTTTCGTCGCAAAAATATAGTGAAATCTGACATACTTCTTAGCCACAGACCGAAGGGGCTAAAAAGTATACTGAAATCTGGTATACTTGTACTAAATTCTAGCCACTAAATTCTAGTCGTGCCTAAAAAGTGTACTGAAATCTGATATACTTTTTAGCCACAGAAAAGTTTAATTAATGAAATCTGATATACTTTTAGCCACAGACCTCTGTGGCTAAAAAGTGTACGGAAATCTGACATACATTTTAGCCACAGACCCTCGTCGCTAAAAGTTTAATTAATGAAATCTGATATACTTCTTAGCAATAGACCGCCGTGGCTAAAAAGTGTACTGAAATCTGATATACTTTTTAGCCACAGGCCCTCGTGGCTAAAACTATAGTGAATTCTCATATACTTTTAGCCACAGACCTCTGTGGCTAAAAAGTGTACTGAAATCTGACATACTTTTTAGCCACAGACCTCGATCTGTGGCTAAAAAGTGTACTGAAATCTGATATACTTTTAGCCACAGACCTCTGTGGCTAAAAAGTGTACGGAAATCTGACATACTTTTAGCCACAGACCCTCGTCGCTAAAAGTTTAATTAATGAAATCTGATATACTTCTTAGCCATAGACCGCCGTGGTTAAAAAGTGTACTGAAATCTGACATACTTTTTAGCCACAGACCTCCGTGGCTAAAAAGTGTACTGAAATCTGACATACTTTTTAGCCACAGACCCTCGTCGCTAAAAGTTTAATTAATGAAATCTGATATACTTCTTAGCCATAGACCGCCGTGGCTAAAAAGTATACTGAAATCTGATATACTTTTTAGCCACAGGACCTCGTGGCTAAAACTATAGTGAATTCTCATATACTTTTAGCCACAGACCTCTGTGGCTAAAAAGTGTACTGAAATCTGACATACTTTTTAGCCACAGACCTCGATCTGTGGCTAAAAAGTGTACTGAAATCTGATATACTTTTAGCCACAGACCTCTGTGGCTAAAAAGTGTACGGAAATCTGACATACTTTTAGCCACAGACCCTCGTCGCTAAAAGTTTAATTAATGAAATCTGATATACTTCTTAGCCATAGACCGCCGTGGTTAAAAAGTGTACTGAAATCTGACATACTTTTTAGCCACAGACCTCCGTGGCTAAAAAGTGTACTGAAATCTGACATACTTTTTAGCCACAGACCCTCGTCGCTAAAAGTTTAATTAATGAAATCTGATATACTTCTTAGCCATAGACCGCCGTGGCTAAAAAGTATACTGAAATCTGATATACTTTTTAGCCACAGGACCTCGTGGCTAAAACTATAGTGAATTCTCATATACTTTTAGCCACAGACCTCTGTGGCTAAAAAGTGTACTGAAATCTGACATACTTTTTAGCCACAGACCCTCGTCGCTAAAAGTTTAATTAATGAAATCTGATATACTTTTAGCTACACACATCTGTGGCTAAAAAGTGTACTGAAATCTGACATACTTTTTAGCCACAGACCCTCGTCGCCAATAGTTTAATTAATGAAATCTGATATACTTCTTAGCCATAGACCGCCGTGGCTAAAAAGTGTACTGAAATCTGACATACTTTTTAGCCACAGACCTCTGTGGCTAAAAAGTGTACTGAAATCTGTCATACTTTTTAGCCACAGACCTCTGTGGCTGAAAAGTGTACTGAAAACTGACATAATTTTTAGCCACAGACCCTCGTCGCTGAAAGTTTAATGAAATCTGATATACTTCTTAGCCATAGACCGCCATGGCTAAAAAGTATACTGAAATCTGATATACTTTTTAGGCACAGGCCCTCTTGGCTAAAAGCATAGTGAAATCTGATATACTTTTAGCCACAGACCACCGTGGCTAAAAAGTGTACTGAAATCTGACATACTTTTTAGCCACAGACCCTCGTCGCTAAAAGTTTAATGAAATCTGATATACTTCTTAGCCAGAGACCGCCGTGGCTAAAAAGTATACTGAAATCTGATATACCATTTAGCGACAGGCCATCGTGGCTAAAAGTATAGTGGAATCTGATATACTTTTAGCCACAGACCACTGTGGTTAAAAAGTGTACTGAAATCTGACATACTTTTTAGCCACGGACCGTCGTTGCTAAAAGTTTAGTGAAATCTGGTATTCTTTTAGCCACAGACCCCTTTATAGCCACCGCGGTGGCTATAAGGTATGAAGAAATTAGGTATCCTTTACAACCAGAAACCACCATGACTGTAAAGTGGCCCGAAGTCAGGCATTCTTTGAAGGGAAAAACCTCCCAGGAATGCGTACGTTATATAGAAAATTCATGGGTGGGGGGCCTGTCCCCAGGGCCTCTGTGATATTCACAATATCAGAGAATAAGCCCTGGGGATGAGGTTGGGGGGGGGGGGATGAAGACTAATGTTTTGCAAAATTCGAAATGCGAAGGTAATCTGTGGCATCAGAAGATATATGAAATGTTGTTTTATCTGCAAGAAATAAACCTGTAGTCAATTTTTCTGGAAATTTAACTTTGAAGTTTGAGAATTTTCTGAATTTTAAAATAGTTATTGGCCGGAGTGGCTTGACAAAAATACCGGAACAATTTTATCGGAACAAAAATTACATAATCGGGCATGTTGCCTGCATGCGGGCTGGCACAGCTGCTTGACGACCGAAGCTTTTGCACAAATGTCTTTGTAGTATTTTGATGTTTTTGATGTTGAAATTTGCTGAAGAATCAAAATAGACGAAGTGTTAAAAAGCATAAAATGGGAAATTGTCACACTGTTGGACCCAATCAGGTCTTGGTTATTTCAGGTTAGTGTAAAATATTTCGTTTTAAAGTAAAAAATTGACCTGGTTTGAAATCGTATTGTGATTTTGTGATTAAAATGGTTCGGGTCAAAAATATGTGTGGCATTTGAGTTTTGTAGTATTATGAATATCTTGATTATATTATTCCTTTATATTCTACTTTTTAACATATTAATTGTTGTATTTTGAAATTATTATATATGCGAAAGGAACTTTCCTTTATAAAACGAAATCGTGTATAATTTTGATTCGCAAATTTTGAAAGCTCGTTTAAAGGTCTCCCGCGGATATTTGGACAAGCCCTTTCGAAAATACGAGCTTTGCATTCGCTGGAAGCTTCAAAGCTTCGGTAAAGTTTTATTATATTAAGCCCTTTAAACATTCAAATTTCTGCTTGAAATCGTATAATTTGTTGTACGCTTGTTTTGAGAGCTTTTGCTTTTCAAATAAAAATACTTATATCGTTGCATGCTATTTGACGGATATGAAATAAACATTCTTTGTAGATTTCAAAATATGTAAGGATGCTAGTTCGTTTTGTGCCTTTTACTTTAATTTTGAAATATATTTGTGCATTAAAAGTTAGATTTTATGTATGGATAATATTGTAAGATGTTATTTTGAGATGTCGTTTCGTACAATTAAAAATACAAAATTAATTTCAACAATTATTTGGAATTTAATATACTATTACGTTGACTCATTGACCATATCGAACTTCCTTGCATATTAGACTTACGAACTTCAAGTGGTTTCAGCTCAATTTATACTTCAATTGGGCAGGTTCTTGGCATTTTTCCCTAAATCGGGTAAAATACCATTTTCATTGCCCTGTAAATGGGGCAAGGCTGAAGGCTCCCCTGGTAAAGTGGTCTTGTGTCAGAGGATGTACATTAAGCCTGCCGCACACAAGAGAAATGGTGGCCAGCTTAGCTATGCTCATATCGTCTGTGCTCATAAGCCTGCCGCCAATGAGAGAAATGGTGGCCAGCTCTCTTGTGTGCTGATATTTTTCGTGAGGATTTAACTTCTCGAGGCCTTCAGGACAATATCTATCGTGTTTGATATTTTTCACCTCGCAAGGAAAAATGTCAACGTCTGCAGATGTTGCGAGCTTAGTGCTGAGCTGCTTAAAATTAACTAACCAATGAGAACCCATAGTTTCTTCATGTGATGTTGGTCAAAGTGGCGACAATGAGTTGAAATGCAAACGATCTTATCAACAATGTTGCTGTTGAGTAGCTTTCCCAACAAGTGGGGCGGAAATGCATAGCTGAGCTAGCCGACAGATGAGGAGGTTGGCTCAGCAAGCTTCTCTGGTGTGCTGCATGTTTTAGGGTTTATTATATGCTGAATTCATGTATTCAGTGCTGGGAAATGAATTGCAACACTGCTGCTAGGAATAAAAAAACCCAACTTTGCTGCCAGGAAGAGAAGTATATTTCCTAGGCCTGTTTGTACTGTTGCATTTCATTGCATCTCACTATTCTTTTTGTTTTAGGTGGTTGCTGTCAAGGAGGTAACCCCAAACCCAAACTAGTTGTTGGAGGATGGGGTTGGGCCTGGGCCTGTGTTAGTGATGTTCAAAGGTAGAAAATACACCCCTGTATGAAGTATGGAGCATGATTTCTGAGCTAGTCAGCTAGATAATGCTTAGGGCCGTTTACACTTGCTATTTTTGCTATAATTTCTAGTGCGATTTTCTTCTTAGAACTAGGGATGAGCCGATAAGGAAAATTGCCGATTACTGAGGCCGATTATTTATAAGCCGATTATTGTAACTAATCGGCCGATTAATCGGTACCCACCGATTATTTTGAAAAGCAAGCGAAAAATCACAAGATGACCAACAATGAAGTTGTAAATGCGGTTTTATTGTTTACAATACACACTTTGTACAATTAAAAACAGCTTCAGTCTCTCATGTCAATAGTCAAAGTTTAGTTTTGGCAGATTATGGTGTAAAAACAAGGCACTGTGAGCTATGGGGAGCTAGTCTGCTGCGTTTTTTTAGTGGAAATGTTCCCAGCTTCACTTCGCTTGAGACAAAAGACACAGGTTTGGCAACAAAATGTGAAAATCTATTCGCTTGTATTCAGTATTTTAGCATGTGATTGGCAGCTGCAGAAAAGGTCTTATGGCCGATTATTTGCCGATTATCAGGCAATAATCGGCCGATTACCGATTATTTAAAAAACGGCCGATTAATCGGCTTTGCCGATTATTTACCGATTAATCGGCTCATCCCTACTTAGAACTGATGCATGTGAATGAGTAGATGAGTAATGAATATTCTGAGTATATGTAACTTCATTTGAACATTCAGAACTCATCCACTCATGCACATGCATCGGAAGAAGAAAAAATCTCAGAAAAATTACAAGTGTAAACAAGCCTGGAAATAAGTGTCCGGTCACGGTCATTGACCGGCACAAATACGCGATTTGTAGTGTTTTGACAGGCACAAATTTGATTGTGTCTGTCACTTTGTCTGGCACTCATTCCAGTGGTTAAACTAAACTAAAATAACCTTCCTGTCGACAAATTCTCTATTATTTGTGCTATAAAGTTTAAAGTTATCCGGTTTATTAAATACATTAAATACACAATGCTTTAAACACAACGCCATGTTTGTGCAGTGTTTCCACTTGTTTCATTTGCAATCTTTCACAACTGGTGCATAAAAATCGTACAAGCTCACCAACCATGCAGTAATCTCTATGTATTTAATGATTTTAACCATTGCATATTTTGTATCCTATGTTTTTGGCAGTCCGGTACAATGACCGGTACGTTTTGTTTCATGACAGGCACGTTTTGTTTCATGACAGGCACGTTTTGTTTCATGACAGGCACAAATTCATTGGTGCTGGTCATTTTGACAGGCAGGTCCCCAAAAATTATTCCCAGGCTGGAGTGTAAATGAGCCTTTATCTGCTTTAAATCATTGCGTAGCTGCTGTTTAGAAGTTGAAGGTTTTCAAAACTCATTGAGTGGCGGCACTCTCCCCTTGATAAGCAAAATCATCTGGCATTAGACAGGGTAACATAATAAAGTAGGGCACATTGCCACTTACTGTAACAGTTATGGCTCACTGTGGTTGAAATACGCTTGTATCCCACTGGGCACTTGGCCCCTTGCTTTCCTTTTACTAATGTGTAATATTTTCAACACAGACTTACATTAGAAGTGATGACACTGAACCCAAAGTGTGAGTCAGTTGAGACAGCTGAGGGCGTGGCAGTTACCGTCACGGGCGTGGCTCAAGTGAAAGTCATGCAAGGAGACTTCCTTGCCACAGCGTGTGAGCAGTTTCTTGGCAAGAGTACTGCTGAAATTGAAAATGTCATTTTACAAACGTTAGAAGGGCATCTCCGAGCCATTCTTGGCACGTTGACTGTAGAAGAAATCTACAAAGGTGGGTTTCAGTAAATGTTACCACAAAACAGATGGTGGTTAGCTTTCAGGAATGTTGAAGTGTAAATTCTACACATGAGCAGCTGTTCAACTGCTGGATTCTATAGCTTAGTCAACCTCATACCACAGAATACTACACAGAAGTCCATCTCCATTGTTTTTAGCGTAAGCTCTATTCGTCATGATTCGTCACTCAGCAAGTACCGTAAACAGAAGCAGTCACCCCCCTGGACGTGCGCCATTTTTAGTATTTCCAGGGGGGTGACTGCTTCTGTTTGCGGTACTTGCTGAGTGACGAATCATGACGAATAGAGTTTACGCTAAAAACAATGAAGATGGACTTCTGTGTAGTATTCTGTGCTCATACCCAGGGTCTTTCCTCTTGTGAAGAAAAGACCCTGGTAGATGCTGGTCATGTGATCTGCTAAAATCGAGCAGAGTTTCAATTAGCAATCCAAGATAAGGTCAATAAATATCTGATATTTGGATGATTTTTATAGTTTAATTTATAATTTGTATGATTGTCGTAAAGGAATCCAAGATAGTTAATTAGAAATCTGCTAGATTTTAGCAGATCACATGACCATCGTCTACCAGGGTCTTTCCTCCACAAGAGGAAAGAGAAAGACCCTGGGTACAAGGTTGTAGCTTAGTTGGTTAGAGCGCCACACTGGAATCATGCAGTGACGAAGCCAGCCCGACAATTTGGTCATGCTATGCAAATATTTCTGTGTTCATAGACCGCGAAAACAATCAATTTCTAAAGAAATGAGTAATTATAATAATTTAAAATTTGCATAGCATGACCAAATTGTCAGGCTGGCTCCGCCACTGACTGGAATTGCAGGGCCGCAGGTTCGATTCCTGTCAGAGGCCCTATAGTTACATTTTTCACAGCTGCTCCTGGACAAGTCTAAAAAATTATATAATTTACACATGAAATTTCCATATACAAAAACCCTTCAGCAATTAGCCATTCTGAAGTCGATGAGAGGATTGGGGATGAGTGTTAAAAAGTGCCCAAATTAAAAAATGAGCCAAATCACTAAAAGACCACCTCAAAATTAGTAAGTATACAAAGTTTGAAGACGTTTACATGAATATCTTTCGAATAATAAGCTTTCAGAAATCGTGATATTTACTATGAAATGTATTGCAATTTTTGTTTTTGGGACGCGCGTCCCCAAAACAATCTTTTAATCAGTAATTTCATAATTTTCGAAAGCTTATTATTCGAAGGGTATTCATGTAAACGTCTTCAAACTTTGTATACTTACTAATTTTGAAGTGGTCTTTTTAGTGATTTAATTCATTTCTTAATTTGGGCATTTTTTAACACTCGTCCCCAGTCCACTCATCAACTTCGGAATGGCTAATTAGTTCTATCAAGTGAGATGCACAAAATCCTGATATTTATCCATGATATCAGGCAGAAAATTTAACTACATCTTTAATTTTATTTGCCTCAAAATACACAAAATACAAGACTATTACTAACATTATTTCCTCACTCTGATAACTGCAGGTTGACCACCATCTGCTGCACATTTAGTGTTCAGTGAAATCCAACTATTTGCTTGGTTTTGGGTCTGACTTCGTGTGAATTAAGCATTTACAGTAGACAGATAAATATGTAGACTATAGGGCAATATGTAGACTATAGGGCAATATGTAGACTATAGGGCAATATGTAGACTATAGGGCAATATGTAGAATATAGGACAATATGTAGACTATAGGGCAATATGTAGACTATAGGGCAATATGTAGACTATAGGGCAATATGTAGACTATAGGGCAATATGTAGACTATAGGGCAATATGTAGACTATAGGGCAGTATGTAGACTATAGGGCAATATGTAGACTATAGGGCAATATGTAGACTATAGGGCAATATGTAGACTATAGGGCAATATATGTAGACTATAGGGCAATATATGTAGACTATAGGGCAATATGTAGACTATAGGGCAATATGTAGACTATAGGACAATATGTAGACTATAGGGCAATATGTAGACTATAGGGCAATATGTAGACTATAGGGCAACATGTAGATTATAGGGCAATATGTAGACTATAGGGCAATATGTAGACTATAGGGCAATATGTAGACTATAGGGCAATATGTAGACTATAGGGCAATATGTAGACTATAGGGCAATATGTAGACTATAGGGCAGTATGTAGACTATAGGGCAATATGTAGACTATAGGGCAATATATGTAGACTATAGGGCAGTATGTAGAGTATAGGACACTCATAGCCTCCAGTAGCAAATTAAGTTATGTATCATGCATAAATTATATAATGGATTAATTATTCATTCAATTTACTTTGTCCAGCAAAGCAAGACAAACGAAGTTTTGCTAATTTCTCATCAACTTTTAATCTAATTGTAACCAAAGTTTAACCAATTGTTCGTTGGGCAATGACCATTAGATCCACAAATTTTCATATCAATACCGGTACATTTGGTAGAGAAACACACACAGACAAACACACATACATACATACATATACACCGAGATGAAAACATACACTCCTGGTACGGAGGTAATAAACATTTGAAATTTCGCCCTGTTTAGATCGTGACAGTTTTGCCAAGCTGGTACGTGAAGTTGCGTTACCAGATGTGGGTAAAATGGGAATTGAGATTCTCAGTTTTACGATCAAAGATATTGAGGACAAGGTGCAGTACTTGGACTCTCTTGGTAAGACGCAAACAGCGAAAGTCAAACGTGATGCTGACATTGGTGTGGCTGAAGCTAACAGAGATGCTGGGATTAGGGTATGTATTTTGGATAATTGCCCATAATTACTCTTAGGAATGGGCCAAAATCTAATAGGAATTCCTACAGGATTTTTTTCTTTGGAAAGTCTTTAAGCAGTGACTGGTATCATTCATTTAGTGCATATACATGCAGATAGTCTTATATACAGATATGCCAAGGTTCCCCTTTGTTGAGTAAAATCGTTCGGTGTTAGATAAAGTAAAGTAACAAAGTAGGGTGCATTAGGACGCAATTAGCTTTTCTCACGATGACGAATATCCGCCATTTTTGGGTGGCATCTAGTTCTCGTTAACCAATGCAGACAATTAAAACAATGTGAAAAGATTATAAAAAGTCGCTGTTATGTGGACTTATCGCACAAACTTTGGCTGAGAAGCCACCCAAAAATGGTGGCTTGAGAAAGCAATTAGCCTTTCTATTAGCCTCTATACATGCAATTATGTATAATCAGTCGTAATAGTATCATTAATAATTATAATAAATCTATTTTTTCTAACACAAGGAAGCGGAATGCACAAAGGAAATGATGGATGTGAAGTATTCCACCCAAGCGAAGATTGCTGATGCTTCTAGAGAATATCAGATGAACAAGGCAGCGTTTGACCAAGAAGTCAACACAAAGAAAGCTGAGGCTGAATTGGCCTATGAACTACAGGTATTTCACAAAATGAACGGTGTGTGCCCAAAAAAATTTTCCGGACACCCTTCACTACCTTTTCATTCATGTACCGTAATTTCTTAAATTTACATTCGCCTTTGTCTTTCAGGATTATGACCATGTTGCCGTTGCCCTTGTATTTGCCAAACTCTCTAGTGGGCCCTGACGAAGGGTTTTCGCTTGAAACGTTGAAGTTCGCGTCCTCTAATACTTGCATTATTTTCTCCCTGTTAGGCCAACAAAGAAAAACAAAAGATTCGTGAAGAGGAAATCCAAATTCAGGTCGTAGAACGTAGAAAACAGATCTCAGTCGAGGAGAAGGAGATCGAGAGGAAAGAAAAAGAATTGACTGCGACGGTGAAGAGACCCGCCGAAGCAGAGAGCTATAAAGTACAGACTTTGGCTCAAGGACAGAGGTATGTAGTAGAGATGATACCTCAACGCCTTCAGTCTGAGATGTGCAGTTCAAACGGTCTGTGCCAAGGTAGTGCAAATAAAGTTTAGTTTAGGTTTCGTCCTGTAGTACCACTGGATCAATAAGAGATGATCCCTACTGGACCTCTAGGGAGAACAGTTTAGCACTGATAGACCTACTCAGTATAAATAAAGTTAGTTTAGTTTAGGTTTCCTCCTGTAGTAACACTGGATAAATAAGAGATCATCCTTACTGGACCTCTATAGGAAGAACAGTTTAGAACTGATAGACCTATCCAGTATAAATAAAGTTAGTTTAGTTTAGGTTTCCTCCTGTAGTAACACTGGATCAATAAGAGATGATCCTTACTGGACATCTAGGAAGAACAATTAAGAAATGATAGAGCTATCCAGTATAAATAAGGTAAGTTTAGTTTAGTCTTCCTCCTGTACAGGTAGGTTTCCTTTGCTAAGTGTAAGTCTGTTTCCGACAGGATTGCAGAGTGTAATACTACATTTGTGTTACATATTCCTTCTATAATACCACTGTGACTAACATTTTTACCTCCAGGACAAAAACCGTGGCTGCCGCTCAAGCCGACGCTGAGAAAATTAAGGTAAGTCTGACTTGAAGCATTCTTTCATCTTGAGTCATACAGTATTACAGTTCACTTCCATAATACAATTATGTTGGATAGTATGGTGAGTTCCATAACAAACTCTGTATCCTGGTTTGTATAGATGGTTGGTGCGGCCGAAGCTGCATCTATTGAAGCAATTGGTAAAGCCGAAGCTGAGAGAATGAGACAGAAAGCTGCTGCGTACAAACAATATGGTGACGCTGCTATGATGTCGCTAATCTTAGAATCATTGCCCAAGGTAAGTTCTGTTTCATCTCAACCGTGAGAAACGCCAGAACTCCCTTTACAAATGCCAGAACTTGGTTTTCAAATGCCAGAACTTGGTTTTCAAACGCCAGAACTCCCTTTACAAATGGCAGAACTCCCTTTTCAAATAGCAGCACTCCCATTTCAAATGGCAGAACTCCTTTTTCCAAATGCCAGAACTCCCTTTACAAATGGCAGAACGCCCTTTTCAAATGGCAGAACTCCCTTTTCAAATGGCAGAATTCCCTTTTCAAATGGCAGAACTCCCTTTTCAAATGCCAGAACTTGGTTTTCAAATGCCAGAACTTCCTTATCAAATGCCATACCTCCCTTTTCAAACGCCCAAAATCCGTTTTCAAATGCCAGAACTACTTTTTCAAATGCCAGAACTCTCTTTACAAATGTCAGAACTCCCTTTACAAATGTCAGAATTCCGTTTTCAAACGCAAGAACTTATCAAATGCGAGAATTTCGTTTTCAAACGCCAGAACTCCCTTTAAAAATGCTAGAACTCCCTTTACAAATGCCAGAACTCCCTTTTCAAACCCCAGATGAGAATTTCGTTTTTAAACGCCAGAACTCCCTTTGCAAATGCCAGAACGCCCTTTTCATCTAGATTGCTGCTGAGGTTGCCGCTCCGCTTGCCAAGACGGAGCAAATTGTGATGATAAATGATGGTGGAAGCAACAGCGTATCAAGCGAGGTTACCAAGCTGGTTGGTCAGCTACCGCCTGCCGTACAAGCTCTCACTGGTATTGATCTTTCGAAGGTAACTGGAGTATAATCCTTTTGTGAAAGTGTGTATTTGCTCGTAGAGAAAAATACTATAATATTCAAAATGTGTAACGTCTGAGTCAAGCCCCGTATAGAGACGGGCAATTTTTCCTTGACAAGTTTTATTTGATCGTGTATGGCAAGGAAAAATTGCCAATATTTTGCCGCAAGCAGCTTTGTTCCAGAGCTAGTCATGCCAACTTTTGGACAAGAAAAATACTTGAAAAGTATATAAGAAATACTTCTGTGGTTTTGGGTTTTTGGCAAACAAAAAGAGATAAATGTTTAACAACATTCTGTGAACACGCGAGCCTCAAGCCTTATCAAGGAAAACTTGTTGACCGTACACACGAGAAAGTAAACTCGTCAAGTAAACTTGTCAAGGAAAACTTGTTGACTGTACACACGAGAGAGTAAACTCGTCCAGTAAACTTGTCAAGGAAAACTTGTTGATTGTACACACGAGAAAGTAAACTTGTCAAAGAAAACTTGTTGACTGTACACACGAGAAAGTAAACTCGTCAAGTAAACTTGTCAAGGAAAACTTGTTGACTGTACACACGAGAAAGCAAACTCGTCAAGTAAACTTGTCAAGGAAAACTTGTTGACTGTACACACGAGAAAGTAAACTCGTCAAGTAAACTTGCCAAGAAGTAAACTTGTCAAGTAAACTTGTCAAGGAAAACTTGTTGACTGTACACACGAGAAGGTAAACTTGTCAAGGAAGCTTGTTTGGTTTAATTCTTAACTATAACTGAATCCATTTTTGTTTAGGTTCTTGGCAAAGTTCCTGGGGCGCAAGCTGTATAATACACAAGAAACTTTAACTGACAGTGAACGGATAAATTTTAACGGATAATTGTACTAAATCTAGGCCCATTATAGTGGTCACGGTATATATTAGCAAGAGTTAAGCGTGTATGGTTTCTAGGAGTTTGCCTCGATCTCATTCAACGGTATAGACATAATTGCATTTCCTAGCAAGATAAAAGTGCGACTATCCCCAAATATAATGTTTGGTATGTGTGTTGGGTCATTCTGAGAAGAAATGTAATGTATCTTTATAGTAAAAAACCTCATCTTGATCAACTTTTCCACTGTCATAGTTCCAGATATGATGTCATTAGGTGAATTTTTGGTAAAAAAAAAACAAAGGAAAACTAATTTGCAATTCACCTAATGACATCATATCCGGAAACTTTGACAGTGAAAAAGTTGATTAAGATGGGATTTTTTATTATAAAGATGTATTACATTTCTTTTTCGAATGACCCAAATATTACACATACCAAAAATCATATTAGTGGTTAGTCGCACTTTAAGAAAGGCATAGAGAATAAAGTGATTTTTCATTCATATAATTGTTAATCATGCTTTGTTTAAATATTTAAATATCTGAAACTTAATTAGCGTCCAGTATGCGCAGTATTCTACAATAAGCTGCAGTAGTTTGTCTGAATTACCTGAACAAGTTTAATCTCGAAATTTACCCTAGGCCTGACTCGACCTGCCGTGATTTTAATGGTTGTTTTCAGATGCAAATCACGCCAGCTTTTTGTAGACATCTATCTGCACTGGACCGTTTGAAGCTAAATCACCCTGATAAAGCCATTAGCTCGTGAATCGCTCGTTGATTAGAACTAACAAGTGTAGTCGGTGATAAAATGAGCAAGATACTTCTGTTTTTAGCGCTATTATTTTTGTAATTTATGAAATTAATAGCTTGTGCACAGTGGCGTAGACTATATGATTACTTTTTTTGTGGAAAATCTTCGTTCTTTAGAATTTTTTGCCTTAACTATTTCGTGCAATGTATAACTTAATAATCTATAGCCTATCATGTTTTCATGATCGAAAAATAATTGTCACAGCTTTGTGATACAGTTATTCAGCTATCAATCAAAGGTTTTCGAAAATTATTGGGGGAGCCCATTCTGCTCTGCCACCCTATAGTCTCCGCTACTGCTTGTAAACTAAAGTATTTTGCTAGTTTTTATAGTACTAGGTTTACTAATCTTGATGCTGTATGAAATTATGTAGCACAATAAATTTTCTCCAACCATTTCTGCCTGTAATTTACTTTATTGCGATGGGAAATAAAGGGTAGTCTCAAATAGGACCTTGCGGCTCAATGGGTTAACTGAAGGATCAACTGCTGGACTGCTTGTTGTAATACTTTTTGACTGAAGGCTTGCAGCTAACTAATATCTTAGGGGGGGGGGGGGGGGGGGTATGGATCACGTTTCACAACGAAAAAAAAGCCGTTTCACGATTCACGTGTCTTAAAAAACAATTTCACGGAAAACTAGATTCTAATAAAATAATATAATAATAATAGGTTTATTTAGAGTATATGTTTAATTAAAAACTACATCATAACTTAGAAGTTTGAATGACGAGTATGTCCGACGACCTCCGAAAGGCCTCCGAAGTTTTTACTCTTGTGCAATCGAGTGAGATCGATCATATGAATTGATTATCGCGTACCATGTTTATTATGACTATTATGAAATAGAACGAAATAAACATAGCAAAATCTCAGTTCACGAAACAGACATCCTTAATTCTCATTTCACGGAGCATTTTTATCGACAATCGCGCCTCACGGCTGTAGAACAAATCACATTTCACGACACTAAAATCAAGCATTTCACGCGAACAAATATTGACCATTCACGGCTCACGAAAATACCCTTTCCCACCCTCATCTTAATGTTGGGTTCGATTAAGGCAAGCATTCGGATCAGAATTTAAATCCAGGTTATTAATATAGAAATAGACCCAAAATTTTTCAATAATACGGAAAATCCACCTCGCAAAACACAATTTTGTGATGCTGACTCGCAGAATCTAAGGCATATTAAGGTAGTTGCTCGCAGGCTGCCAATCGGCGATATTTTTTTCGGTAAGTCGCCGAGATACGCCGCCAAATGTAATTGGGATTTGGAAGATAATTTTTCAAAAAAAATTACTACACTAAGCAAAAGAAAAGTTTATTATTTGGTTTAAAATATATTTTAGGAGGTATGTCTTTCAACAACGGCGATTGGCAATCACCTGCCTTTCGACAAAGAGTTACTTTGGAAATGTAAGTCATAAATATCACCGCCAATCAGTATAAAATATAAGATATGTCATGTTTTAAAACAGTATAATATTTCATTTTTGTGCGGTGTTGGTGTTTATATGTGAATCGACCCCGCGACCTTTGGATACTATAGTACCAGAGAACGTCATGTGACGCCTGTTAAAAATGTATGCAAAAGTGCCAGTATGCTTCAAGGTGCTTTGTCCTGTTTCTAATAAATTTTTCATGAACATACAACATATCGTTCTTACAAATCGTATGTTTTTTGTTTTTCGAATTGCTAAATTTTTGGTGGGAAAAATTATGACGTCACATACTTGGCGCTAAAAAATTAATAGTTAGATATTGGCAATTTTGTGCACTTGTCCGGTAGACGACCTTGAGAGAGTCTTAAACTGAAGTCTATTTCCAAATACGACCATTTTTCGCGGAGATATGGAGATACAAATGTCCAAAAATCAGTCATTTCATTACTAAAAATAGAAGAAAATGGCAGATTTTGAAATTCGAGTCTTTATATCTTTGCAAGAAATGGTTGTATTTCAAAACTGACTTCAGTTTTAAGATACCCTTAGTCAGCTCTTCTAAATATATGCACAAAATCACCAATAATATATTTTCAATTTTTGGCGCCAGTTAAGTTTGTGACATAGAATTTACCAGCCAAAAAGTAGCAATTCCAAAAACAAAAAACATACGATTTGTAAAAATGATATTTTCTATGTTCATGGGAAATTTAGTAGAAACGGGATGAAAATTAATTAACAAAGTTGAAACATAATTGGCACTTAAATGCATGCATTTTTGATTGCAGGCATGAGGTAACCTGTAATATAGGAACCGAGTTTGCCTATTTAAACTGGCTAGCTGTGATTCTCTCAATCAATCAATCAAAAACATTTATTTAAACACGATTTAAAAAATGAGCAGCAAATTGCCGATGTGGTTGTGTTTCTCTGATTAATTAACTGGGCTGGCTATTTTTCTTAAAAACCCTATTCCTGGGGAGGCAGTTTTTCTAGCTAGCCAGAAACAAATTTTTAAGAACAATGTGTTTGACAACTTGACCTCCATTTTATTATTTTACTCTGTCTAACACAATGATGATTTTACTTGGAAGGGAAAATTATTGGGCAGAGATATTACAGTAAGTATAGTAATTTAGGAAATCTTCAAATTTAGTGACGATGCTTTGCAAAAGTCGCCAAACAAAATTGGTTCACAGAATGAAAAAAGCGCAGCAGAAATTGAAAACCAAATATTTGGGAGATCTGCCAGCAGGGTAAATATTTGTATATTGTTTTCAATCTCACAGTAATAATAATAATAAAATAATAAATAAAAATGAATAAATATTTTAAAAAACTTCCAGTTTGATGTCCTTGCTTGAATTTACTGTAAAAAGTCCTTGAAATACTGGAATTCCCATTATAGACTAATTTTAAAACTAGACAAGGATAAAGATGCAAATAAATTACCACAACATGCTAAAATGAGCAATTGCAAAGTTTGGTTGCGAAATGTTGTAAAGTGTGGAAATATATATATAGCCTTGCAAAGTTTGCAAATTTTGTATACTTTTGTATTGCGTGCAGAAATTGCTACCATTTTCGGCCCAAATGTGGTAGCAATTTCTGCACGCAATACAAAACTATACAAAATGTGTGAACTTTTCAACTTTGCAAGGCTATATTTTTTGCATTTTACAACATTTTGCAACCAAACTTTGCAGTTTTACTTAATTTAGTTTGCTCTTACCGGGAATATACTTTCTTTGCCAAGACAAAAAATTAGTCTATAATGGAATTTGAATTCCACCTTCAAGGGTGGAAACCCTGCATATGTTACGTGCATAAATACTGAAAGTAATTTGAACAATTTAATTGCATGTCCTTGTTTTCTCAGAATATTTACATGTCTATGGTTGGCCGCATCATTTTGCATTTACAGCAAGGTAATAATCAACTCAATCACATTGATGATAATTTACTTTTCATGGGGGAAAGTATTTGGGTAACAGTGATTAACATGTTAAGCTGTGCACAGTGTGCCCTTTGTTATATATTTTACTCTCCTTAACCCATTGAGCACCAGCGCAAGTGAGTTTGTCGGTTAACCTAGTCTGATCCGAGTCCGAGTCAAATGTCCGAGTCATATTGTTTAATCGATGGTCTTTGCAGTTCAATGACTTAGTACCCTAATCCTAATCATAACCCCACTCCTAACTTACCCTAACCCTATTCAACTGTGAATGTTATTCAATTTCGGAGTTTCTCGTTGACTGACTGACTCAAATCCGAGTTCAAGTCAATTAATATGTCCGATCGAGTCACTGTTTATATAACTGTCTTTGTCGGTAAAATGACTTAGTATTCTAACCCTAAACCTACTCCTAACCCTATTCGACTGTGAGTTTTCTTCACTTTCGTCTTTTTTTTTACGCGACTCGGGCGTTTGACTCGGGCTCGGGGCTGACTCAGACTCGACTCGGTAAATGGATTTACTCCAGCACAAGTAAAATTGTCTGGCATATTAGGCAGAGTGAGTGAAATAATGAAGTATTTTTTATCAAATCTATTGACTCTCCATCATGCAATGACTTGCATTGCGAATCTTTGCTAAATTGTCACCAAAAATTGTCCTGTGGGACATTGCATAAACTGGTTTTCTGTGTCATATATAAGAAAGGCCAGAAAGGTCTATTGAGTTAATACCATGTGGTTTTTCTCATCAAAGTTATAAAAACTTTGGACATTGATGAGTTAGTGAGATGTAAAGTACTCTATTTAGCAATTAAGCTGCATTGCACCCTTAACTATATTATTTTACTCTGCCCAATGCCAGACAATTATGCATTAGAGGTTGTTCAAAGTGACTGCATTTTGAACATGAGTTAATCAGATTATATCTATGTTTCATGTTAACCCTCCATTAATGCCAGACTATTTTGATTGTCAAACGAAAAGTGTGATGGCTTTTAATTGGTTTCAATATGATTTGTTTCTCAGGACGTCAAAACCAACCACAGCCTGCAGCACCAACCATCCACCAAGGTAGATATAGTCAACTGACTTTATTTATACTACAGTACATATGCACTATCTCAGTCTATCTGTTATACAGTTCTAAACTGTTCTCCCTAGTGGTCCAGTAAGGATCATCTCTTATTGATCTAATGTTACTACAGGAGGAAACCTAAACTAACTTTATTTATACTGGATAGCTCTATCAGTTCTAAACTGTTCTCTCTAGAGGTCCAGTAACGATCATCTCCTATTGATCCAGTGTTACTACGGGAGGAAACCTAAACTAAACTAACTTCATTTATACTGGATAGCTCTATCAGTTCTAAACTGTTCTCCCTATAGAGGTCCAGTAAGGATCTTCTCTTATTGATCTAGTGTTACTACAGGAGGGAACCTAAACTAACTTTATTTATACTGGATAGCTCTATCAGTTCTAAATTGTTCTCCCTGGAGGTCCAGTAAGGATCATCTCTCATTGATCCAGTGTTACTACAGGAGGAAACCTAAACTAAACTAACTTTATTTATACTGGATAGCTCTATCAGTTCTAAACTGTTCTCTCTAGAGATCCAATAAGGTTCATTTCTTATTGATCCAGTGTTACTACAATACTACGGGAGAAAACCTAAATTAAACTAACTTTATTTATACTGGATAGCGCTATCAGTTCTAAACTGTTCTCTCTAGAGATCCAGTAATTAGGTTCATCTCTTATTGATCCAGTGTTACTACAGGAGGAAACCTAAACTAAACTAACTTTATTTATACTGGATAGCTCTATCAGTTCTAAATTGTTCTCCCTGAAGGTCCAGTAAGGATCATCTCTCATTGATCCAGTGTTACTACAGGAGGAAACCTAAACTAAACTAACTTTATTTATACTGGATAGCTCTATCAGTTCTAAACTGTTCTCTCTAGAGATCCAATAAGGTTCATTTCTTATTGATCCAGTGTTACTACAATAC